TTTATGAGATTCAAGATGTCTGCTTTACCACAGAAAGGAAACCTTAACGGAGTAAGACCCAGCTAACCTAATGTAAACACCAAAAGCCATTTACAACATAGAGCCGGCATTAAAATGTTCTGAGCAATGCTTCACCAGATGCTTCATGGGTCAGTTTCCCTCTTTCTCTCTTGCTTTTCACTGTCTCTTGTCACTTCACAAACAAGCAAGTTTTTACTGGTGTAAAAAGGAAATACCATTCTCTCCTTCCTTCTATACCTCCTTCTGTGTCAGAAATCATTGTTTACTTGCTATCTCTATCCTTGCCCCTCGTATTAAAAAAAAAAGTTAGCACAACTAACTTTCTTGGAGATCACAAACCCCTCTGAACCCTACAAATAGACATTATACAGTCTGAGTCATTAATAAGCATAATCTGTTACAATTGAATTTAACAATTCATTTTTCTTGGTTTATAAGGGAATTGTTCCCCCTCCCCCTGCCCCTGTTGACAGAGTGACTGTAAGGATGAGTTCTCCTCTCCATCACCTTTAAAATAAGAAGTCAGTTCCTTAGTTCAGTCATGCAATATAGCACTGAGACCTTTCAGTGGAAGGCTGTGACTACTCTAGTGCTTGATTGCAACATTGAATTTCCGGAATGTTTTCCCACTAATCCTGTCCTTAGGATATTGTTCCATTAGTCCTGACTTGCTCATTGTGAAAGTCTAATTACTTCTCTATCTTCAATCCCCACAAATGGAAATTGCTGACTTGGTGCTCTAAGATTCTCCTCAAAGGGTTTTTATCTTAGACCCACCTGCTCCTGCTTTTATAGTGTACATATTGGCTATTCTCCATTGAAATCCTACTTGGATGCCTGATTGCAGCATGGACATAAACCTGGGTTCTCAAAGAAGATGACCAGAGTCCTAGGCTCTGGAATCTCCTACTATTTTGGAAGGACTTCTGATACAGCCTGGCAATGGATTGTTGACCAAAGACCGACTTAACTAAATGCAGAGAAGTTGGCAATCAGGTGATATTGATTTTCTGAGGGTGGGGGGTGTTAAAGGGAGGAGCTGGGTATATTATAACTCATGAAACCATCTACTAAAGCAGAGAATGTGATTTGTGCTAATGAAGGGAATACTCACACTCTCAAAAATCACACATTGTCCAAAGTGTTAAACTTATTTAAGCTGGCCAAAACAAGAGAATGACATGCAAATTCCATGTGGTGCAATACCATTACATTTTAATTTGCAAAATAGCCCTAAAGTACTAACCATCACGATTACTAGATATATTAGGATTTCTAAGTGTTAAATATTTAATTACTAAATAAAATTCTGGGAATGACATAATGAAAATAAAAATGCTTAACAATTGAGGACTGCTTTTAGTTTTCCAAATCAATCAATCAATCAATCAATCAACTAACACTTATTAAGCACCTACTCTGTGCCAGGTACTTTGCTAGACATTCTCAAAACAAAGATAACAAATGAAGTGATTCTTGCTCTCAAGATGTTTACATTCTATGGAGGAAAGTAAGGTGTACATAAATAAATATACATGAAATGAATACGAACCAAATGCCAAGCAGTTAGGGACAGAGGACTCCAGCAGCTGGGGGTGCTTCTATATGTATGATCTCATTTTATTGAAATAACAATCTTATGATATAGGTAAAACATGTAACTCCACAAGGAAACTGAGGCACAGAATGATTAGAGAAGTTGCTTAAGATCAACCAGTTTGCTAGGGGAAGAGTTGAAATCAGAATCCAATGTAGTCTGACTCTTTCAACTATACTTCTTGAGGATGTTTGACTTGTGAACATTTATATTACTACTGAATTTCTTCTAATATTTCTGCTTCCTTCCTCCCTCCAAGATACCAAGGAAATTCTTCCCAATATTAGCTGTCAAATCACTATGAACAAAAGCTGCTAGTTTTGTCTTCTACCTACCTAAGACATGAAAAATGTGACCACTCTTCCAGAATTTACTCCCATTATCTCTGTTGTATGCTAGCATAGTATTTTGTATGGCAGGCAGAGGAGAGTCAGAGGTTGATCTTTCTGCACATTTGAAATTCCCATTAGTTACAAGGTCAAGGAGCAGCATTGCATAATATAGCACAAAACTACTCATCCCTAACATTACTCTCTCTCGCTCTCTCTCTCTCTCTCTCTCTCTCTCTCTCTCTCTCTCTCTCTCTCTCTCTCTCTCTCTCTCTCTCACACACACACACACACACACACACACTCCAAATTCAACATATCAGTTTTTCATGTAGGTCAAGAGGTAGCAACTTGGAACTAAACTATAAACACAATTATTCAGAAAATGTCATTTCCTCTCCCCTCCTGAATCAGTCTGTTCAGCTAGTCCTGGCTGGATGACCTTAGGCAAGTCACTTACGGTAAAATGAGGGAGATGGATTCTCTATAATTGGATGGATTCTCTTCCTCCAGACTTAACATTCTGCAATTATGTGATGTAGCCTTCTTAGCCTCACTAATTTTTTTTTTTCAAAATCACTGATATTATCCCTTTTTAGAAATTTAAATATCCCCTACTTCTTAATTCTCTCTCTCTCTCTCTCTCTCTCTCTCTCTCTCTCTCTCTCTCTCTCTCTCTCTCTCTCTCTCTTCTCTCTCTCTCTCTCTCTCTCTCTCTCTCTCTCTTCTCTCTCTCTCTCTCTCTCTCTCATTACCCTTTATTGACTTCCAGTGTTGAAACTTCTAACAAAGTGGAGACTCATTACAATTCCTGTACTATATATATGTATATATATATATATATATATATGTATATATATATGTATATATATATGTATATATATATATATATGATAATAATTTATAGATCAAGAAATAGGAAATAATTTAGACTCAAGTCCAAAAATACCTTACTTACTGGAATAATATGAATACAAGATGCAAAAAGGTTTCTTATAGGAAATGTCTACTGGAGTATGGGCATTAAGAAGCAACCAAATAACTCGGAGACTAGGTACTCAGGTTGTCTAGGTGGCAGGCACTACAAATTCACCTAGCAGAGCAAACTATAGCAAATTCCCTGTTGTCTGGCATTCTGATCAGCAAAACTCTCTATGAACTGATATTTCTAGACTTGTACACTGTAATGTTTATGAATTACCTAACTGAAGCTCAAGCAATAACCTGAAGCAAGAGGCAGCATGGTGTAGAGGACAGCATATTGGAACTGATGTCAGGAAGACCCACATTTAAATCTACTTTGGACACTTACTAGCTATGTGGCTTTGGGTCAGTCATTTAACCTCTCTCAGCCTCAGTTTCCTCATTTGGAAAATGGTGGCAGGAAGAGGCAAAGGTAAGACTCCATATCCTCTAAGGTTCCTTCTAACTCTAAATCTATGGTCTTTGTAGTGCTTATGGATCATCAAATAAAGATGAATGTTATTTATAGCACATTTTCTTATATTTTAATTCTTTAACACTTTTTACCCATCTATGTATTTACAATAACTCTCCATTAACCAGAACATTGGATTAAACAGAATACTTCACTTCCCCCATGCTGCCCTATAACAATATATTTACTAAAATAACTCTGCAAATGGTTGGAAAAATCCTATTGGTGTGAATGTTTATACATTTTATATAATATCATAATTTTTAGTATTATCCTTTTAGAAGAAAAGGTCCTGTGCGTGCAAGAACAATGAACAGAATTTACTTAATAATAAATGTACCTAGAGAACGAGGATTTTTTTCTCATTGAAGTGGATGTGTACATCACATTATAAGTAAGAGACTGTTCTTTAAACTAGAGGAGACTGTCATTCCCCAAGAAACATTACAGATTCGACACCTAAATAGTTTTCTCCCTCCCTTGATAGAAAGATTTCTATGCCTGAATTCCACAAATGATTGATATGAATACCAATTCAACACCTCTGGAGAGTAGAGACAAGAGCATAGGTAAGGCTATAGCATATAATGATGTGAATAAGACAGACAGGAGGACTACTAAGTATACACAGTAGATAAACAAACCCTAAATTGAGCTGAATGCAGTATTTAATCATATTCAAAGCACACCTCAACTAGAGTTGCTCTATAGTGGATAAGGCAAACATATACCAAAAAGCAGAATAGATGACCTGGGTTATTATTACAAAGTAATTAAATTTACCTAGATCTTCCTAATAAGTCAAGTTTTTTTTTTAAATCATACCTATATGTAGAAATATCTTTTATTTTAATAATGAAGTCAGGCATAATTGGACCCTTTAACAAATTAACAGAAAAACCAAGTTGAAGCACTTAGAATTCTACCCTTTCCTGGAAATGGGAAAAGACACTGTCCCATATTTGAGACACCAATTTAATCAATTTTTGCACTTAGACACTGATTTTTAGAATGTCTTCATAAAAAGCCATTATTTACTCTACCAGAAAATTCACTTATCCTATTTTTACCACTATGTGACTTATTGTCACCCAATACAATTTATGGTTTCCCATGTCAAGCATAAATAAGATAAATATAGTTCTTAAATAGTAAAATATTCCATAGATTTGCTAAAAATGTCTGACCTCGCTGTCTGTGGTTGCTGTAAATTTTAGTGCCTTGCAATTTTTCATAAAAATGCTAGCCAGAGATTTTATTTACTATTCTCATACCCCTCCAAGAAAAAAAGTAATGACTGAAACACTAAGAATTTAAACAGCAAAAATTAACAAGCTCCTTCCTACATTAGAGAAAAAGGAGACAAAGAGATTACAAAATTAAAGATAATCTTGCAGGACTTGAGGCTCATAAGTCACTAAATATAACCTTTATATCCTATACCACTAACACATGACCTGGTCTGGCTTCAGATGCTTCTTAATTCATTTATAAACCATCTTGCACACATCAGCTGCTTTCCCCCCCTTTTCTCCCATTCTACTTTGGCTCTCCCCAAAGACATTTCTGACCACTAGATGGTGCCATAGTGCCCTGTCCGGATTAGCCGACTTACTTGCAGTCTCTGTCTTCCAAATCAAAGTGAGGGTTGAAGTTGATCATAATTCTCTGGTATGGGTCTGGAGCCTGAATCAGCCACTCGCATTTTTCACTTGGGTGATAAGAATGAGGATAACCAGGGGAAGTAAGGTACCCAGGACTCACAATTTTTATATTGTCACCACATTTACCTGGAATGAAAATAGCATGCTTAAGTTCATCTTTTCCTTACAGATGACAGTTTGACAGTCTAGCTTTTATGACAATTTATCAATTGTTAAACTTTCCAGAACTTTTTTTCAGGGAAACTTTTTGGTGACTTTCCCCCCATGTTCTTCAAGTATTGTTGTCTGAAATAGTTCTAACAAGATCATCATTTGATCTCCCAAGCATTTGCACAGTATAGAGAGCTTTCTTTGATAGCACCATTAGTACTCCAAAGGGGACTTTTTTTTTCAAAGTGCTTTCCCCAAAAAGAGATCTTCCAGCATTAAAAACATTAAATCCCCTCAATTGATGTTAACATTGTCCCTAGGGGGCTTCTGCTAGACTTAATTATCTCCAAGAAATGTAATCTTCTTAAGTAACAAGTTCTAAGTGGAAGGTGACTAAGAGATGCAGTTTGACCCCCTGTGTTGCTTTTTGATGATAAGCCTGGTCTGTGTCATTGGTCATTGGGGACCGTCTTCATAGACTTTGCTTTAAGCCAAACCTTCTTTTGTTTTATCAGTTCATAAATCTCAGTGCTTTCAAGCTATCTATGTTCTTGAAACACAGACTGAGCAGAGAACAAAGTGTTTTTAGTGAACCAGAAATAATTCTGCATTATTTCTCTGGGTAAAGTTGCTCAGGCCTGGAGACTAGATCAAAGTAATGGTGCAGAAAGAAAAATAAATAATCACACAGCTTTATTTCTAATTACCTAACTGTTGGACAGTCAATGTCAGGAAGTATAGGTGCCCCATATAGTAAGCCACAGCCTACCATCCTGGGAAAGGTGGGTTTGATGGTTTTGAGACTCATCATTTCCAAAAGCCAAATGTTGGCTTGATCGCCAAGAGCTAAATAAACCAGTCTCTGAGGCTGCTTTATTGTTCAGCGTCGATTTTCATTGTCACTTTTTATGATGGATTTCATACTAGAGAGCTTCAGCTTGAAAGGCTGCCGCATTTACTGATGCTTAATTTTTAGCAATAAAAAAAAATCTGTGCATAAACTATGGAAGAGGAACAGGTATGACACCAGTGAAATATATAAGCCTATCAATCACAACTTTTCAGTAATGGTATATATAGATTTTAATACGGCATCTAATAGATTCCCTATGGAAAGAGAATGGTATTCTTTGCTCTCAGCATGAATTTATAAATGTACAGAATTTTATTACAGGAAAACCAGGTCAAATGGAAATGAAAGATGAAATGCACATCAAAAATGCATAAAGCTACATGCGTTACAGAAAACATTTCCCATAAATTAGAGAGAAAGAACACAATATAAATTCTATTATTTTCTCAATCACTGGATGTTTCTAACCATGTTTCTTGGACTAGAGTAGACTTATGTTGGTTTCTCCTTTTTTTTTTTTTTTGGCTTTTAAAAGCCTTATGCTTGCCAAGACCAAGCCATGTTTCGACTGGAGTTCAACATCTCGGCTAATGATCATATTGGACTCTGTTATGTGATTCTACTGAGAGTCTTGCATTATTCTAAATTTGCAGAGAACTTGGAAAGTGACCCTGTCTCATTAAGTCTCCTCCAGCTCTGTGCAAACAACATGGCAGAATCTGGCATCTGTTAAAAGAGTGAAATAAAACAGTTCTGCTCCTAGTCACTTGACAAGAGTCCCTTCAGAAGACGATTAGGTGGGCTCAGTACCACCAATGCTCTTTAATCTGTGGCTTCTGAGAAAGTGACAGTATAATAAGATAACTGGACTGCTAGACTCCCTGGCTCTGTTAAGTCTCTCTAACAGTTGATTAAGAAAGAGCAATTTCTAATGACTTAGGACCATTAGTCCTAAATAAGGTTAATGAATTAATTTAGCAGGCACTGGCATTTGGGAGGAGGTGGACATGGCTTTAGGAGCTCTGATAAGTTAAGAGGATGGCCTTGGTGACTCCACTGCTTCTGCAGTTCCCCCCCCCCCAAACTCTAACTGATTGATCGGCTACATCTCTGTTTCTTTACCAGTTACCATTACTCCTGCTAAGCATTTGAAGAAATATGACATTGTAGTTGCTATGTAATTTCTACAACCTTTCGCATTTGATTTCAAATTCACTATCAGTGCACTTCTCTTACCGTACATATCAAGTCTGCCATGAATGGGGGGGGAGGCTGTTAATTTCCAAGGATTGGTCAGTTGAACTAATTCAAATGGAAGAGGGGATTATCTCACCCCCTCCCATGCCCTTGCTATGAGAGTTCAGAAAGATACCACCAACTGGAGTTCATTAATAAGTCACAAATTAACATTCACACATTTTTGCTTTCCTAGCATATTTTCGAGAACACTGGTGGTTGGGGGGGGGGAATCTATTGCTTAAATCACACAGCCTCCTGAAAACATATTAGGGAGATTAACTTCCATCATAAAACCCTGACTTAAATTCTCAGTATAAAGCACTCCACTTGTGGTCTCTTATTAAAACAATATACCACAATAAGTAGTAGATGTTCTTTCCTTCTAATTACTTTGATTGAAATCCAAGTCAGGCAAAAGCAAATATTTGATAATTAGTTAATAATAATTGCTGAAGGCTTAACTGAAAAGAGATTTTCACATCCCAGCCTTCACCTACTTTAAAGTGAGAGGCAAACAATCCTACAGCCAGATCACATTTAAAAACATTATTTATGTTACGTAGTCCTGTTTATAGCCCACACATTCTGTCATTTACTTAACCCGCAGAGGTTTTAAAACCAAACTGAACTGTAGGGATTTTCAGATAGGCTCGTCTCCTATACTGTATATATCAAATTCCTTTATTGACACTAGGTAACTTTCATTTAAACTCCAGACTTTCATGACAGGATTAGGGGACAGACGACTAGGAGCACTTGGAAAAACACACATCCCACATCAGTACCTGCAGACACGCAACAGAGGCTGCTGGATATTTGGGATACTAAGAGGGCTAGGAAGTTTCCTTTTTAAAGTGTTCATTAACTTTCAGCAGCCATCAAAATTTTGAAAGGGATTCTCATCTAATTGCCTTTGGGAGGAAACATTATTACGATAATTGGCGCGCTGATCTGGTAAGGTAGGCAGCTTTGCTTTGTAACAGGGGAAGAGAGGACACACACACACACACACACACACACACACACACGTTCCGAAATCCTCTTGATGTAAAACGTTTAACATCCTCTCCTCCCCCACTCCAAAAAAAAAAAAGTTTCCTTTAGGCCACGAGAAGGCTAGTGAGTGCCAGCGTCTCGAGCAGCTGTGGCGAGATGCCCACCCAGCTAGAAGGCGCAGGCGACTTCTCACTCGGAGCAGCGCCCACCCGGGGCTCCTGCGCCCTCCAGCCCGGGGCCCAGCAGCGTGCGTGCGGCTGTCAGACGCGCCTCTCCGGCCGCCTGCTGTCACTTACCGTTCCGAACCGCGCTGGCAAGGGCTACAGTGAGCGCGGCGCAGTGCAGGACGAGCAGACCCCAATCCATTCTCCTCAACTAGGACGCAGAAAATCTTGGGCAGCGAAAGAGACCCGGGGAGGGGGCGAAGGAGACAAATAGAAGGGGAGGGCAAAAGGGAAAGGGGAAAAAAAAACTCCCTCCCCCGATAGCCTCAAGTCTTCCCGCAGCTTGAAAATCCTTCAGGCTGACTTGGAGAAAAGCAAGCAGCAGCGGAACACTGCCTTGATCCGGGAGAAATGCTTCTCTTTTTGTGTCTCAAGTCGCCTGCATCCTGTCATTTAGCTCCGGTTTCCTCTCTCTTTTCCCACACTTGTTCCTCTTCCAAGAGCCGCTGCCCGGGCCATTTCCAAAAAAAAAAAAAATCCAAACGTGTGGGTGGGTGGAGGAGGTCTTGGTGTTGGAGGGAGGGAGAAGGGAGACACGGGTAGCCTAAAGCCAAATTCCAAAAAGGAAAGAAGAGGGGAGAAAATCCGATGTCTTTTTTTTTGCTTGACCCCCTTGAAACTGACGAGATCGCGCCCAGGGGAGGTCCGGGGGGCTGTCTGCGGGAAGGAGAGAAGCAAGCAATTGAAAAGATGAGCCGAGACAGAGGAGTTTCACAAACTGCACACCCACCTCTTTTTCCCCTCCCTCTCTCCTTCCGTCTTCCCCTCCCCTCCCCTTCCCTCCTCTCCCCTTTTCCTCCCTTTCTCCCTCCCTCTTTCCCCGATAAGCTCGCCTGTAATGGCCTGACAAGAGGCAGGGAGCAGAATAAGTTTCCCTCAGTGTTTTTCTCCGTCAGTCGGTCTGTCTTTGAGTACCCGCTAGGGCTCGCTAAGCGTAGGAGGTGTATATGTGGAAGGAGGGCGTCAGGGGCAATGGGTCTCAGTGCCAACTAGTAGGCAGTCTCTCCTTGGGCAGTGAAAAGAGAAGGGCACAGCGAGCAAAGCAAAGCAGGGCCTCCGTGTGACCTGCCTGTAGGATGCTGCTAGCTCCGGGGTTGAAGGGACCCGGGAGATGAATCCAGGGTAGCGGCGGCGGCGGCCGCACCAGAAAGAGTGACTCCGAATCCTGGAGGAGAGGAGTGCGAAGCGCCCGGGAGGCGGCAGCTTGTTCTTGCAACTCACAAGTCGCCTGCTGCTGCTGTTGCTTCTGCCACCGCTGCCACTGCTGAAGGAGGAGCGGGGCTTGTCTGCACCCAACCCAGCACAGGCGCAGCTGTCCCAGCCCCCACCCCTGCCTTCCTGACCTCTCCAGCCCACATAGTGGTTTCAGGAGCTCCAGTGTCGGTTGGAGGAGAGGTAGACTGCGCCTTCCCCACCCGCAAAGATAGAGTAGGGGTTGGCAGCCAGTTCTACTTAAAGCCAAGTGAGATCGATTAAGCGTAAGATGCCCATCTGCCTCAAGAGACAACCCGGGGCAGGGCGTCGGAGCGAGCAGCTTAGTGGGTAACCCAGCCTCTACGACTCGGTGCCCAGGGCTCTGCCCAGCCGCTCCATTGTTCAGGGTCTCGGGTGCCCTGTAGTCCATGGGTGGAGGGGAAAGGAGGACAGTAGGGGGATCTGAATACAAGTGGAGATATAACTGTCGCCCAGCCCCACCCGTTCATTCTTCTCATGAGCCCAGGTGCTCCTCGTTCCTATTTTTATGGCACCAAGCCTACTGTGGCCCTAGATTCCCAGGGGAAAGGAGATGAAGAACCTCTGTCCACTTCTACTGGGCGTTCGCTGCACCCTTCCAGCAACAGGCAAGGCACATGTCCTGTAGCTTCCCCCCCGCTCCCGCCCAATTCTCGTCCCTCTTGGGAGGGGTGTTCACACCAGCAGCTGACTGGCCCCTGGTTCCCTCACCCTAGCTCATTTCACAGATAGCCGCTATTGAAGATCATCGGTGCACCAGAGTAGACAAAACATTTCACGTGGAATACACAGGCGGAGACCAAGGGATCAGGCACTCTAGCTAGAGGGTTGCCCCGCGGATATCCACGGAAGGAGGATGTTTTGGAAACCGTGAGGTCACGGCATTTCCCCAGTGTTTGGCGCTTATTGACACACCCCGAAATCGGGACTTATTCCGACTTGGCAAGCGAGAGGGAGATCTGTCAAGGGCAATTTAGAGAGAGCTGGAAAAGGAGACTAGACAAGGAGCCCAGGATCTTGGCCGAACAACCAGGGAGTGCAGAGAACAAGTGGGAATCACGCGTCTCCTCCGCGAGCACTAGGGGCGTTGGTTTCAAATCCCGAAATAGTGGAGCCCAGAGAAATATTCTCTGTGCTGGGTCCCCGCGCTGTTTATCTATCTCTTGGGGGGGGGGGCTAGAGGATGGACTGGTGCGTCAGTTTCAAGCCCAGGCCAAAGCACTCACCCAAACTGCCTGCTGTATCCCCTGCCCCGGGAGCCTTTCCCCTTGCGCCGCCTGCTGAGCGCCTCTCACCCAATCTCCTCACCTGAGACCCCGACCAACCCTGCCCCCGGCACGCCTCCTTGCCCATCTCCAGCCCTCAGATCCGCCCCTACTCCCGCCTCGCCAAAGGAGGCCGCTGGAGGCGCTGCTAGGGAAGCTAGACTCAGGCTAGGGTGCGGGCGCTAGGCAGGCAAGGACGGGATGTCTGGTAGCCTTATAATAACAAGGCATAAAGCAGCCTTGCCCATCTGACCGAAAAGCGGGAAAGGTTCCCTTCCTGAACCCCAGGCTGGCGTTCTTTCTTGTCCTTCTATCAGCACATCTCTCTTCCTCCTTTCTTCCTCTCCTCTCCAGCCAGCCTAGTAACTCAGCTCCTAATCTTCTACACGGAGCCAGCCAGGAACACAAAGGTCTGAGGGTCTGCTTGAACTTCAGTACGCCCCTCTTTCCACCACCCATTCAGAGGCAGAGATAGAAAAAACAATCCGAGGGTTCAGGCAGGTTGACAAATGGTTGGGCCGGTTGGAGGGGTGGAAGATTGGAGTGTCCTAGGGACATCTGGGAGTTAGCTCAGTCTGTGCTCAGCCAGTGTTTGTCCCTGTAGTCCGCCTCATTCAAGGCTTTCAAGGCTGAGCCAAGGGGGCACGCAAAGAATAATCTTGCTCCTGTTTGTGTGTGTGTGTGTGTGTGTGTGTGTGTGTGTGTTTTTAGAAAAGTGCTGGTTCCCTCTTCTTTCCTTGCTGAGTACTGCCTTCCTATCATCTACCCCCCAAACGATGAGATTTGAGATGCCCTTCTATGCCACCCTACCCCCTGGCAGCACTGTTTGATGGATTCAAAGCAAACTGTTCACTTTTCCTTCTCACCAGCTATGGGTGTTTGCCAACTCCTTCCTTCAACCACCTTAAAAAAAAAGGAATTAACTCTGTAATATGGATAAATCCTGATTTCCAAGTCCTGTTATTCTCCTTATGCCTAACCCTTAAATCCTGCCATGATTTACCTAGTTTTAGCTGACCAAGCTGGGGCTTTTGTTCTAGCCTCCCCTGATTTTCTCACATTCCTGCATGAGGGTTGGTTCAGAATAAACTATGCTTGTTTATTACCTCTTTTCTGACACCCCAAGTAGTGATGTAAAAAGCCAATCACAGATTTCTACAAACTCCAGAAAGGGGTGGGGATGAGAACACAGGAGCAGTGGGTGGAAGGAGGAGAGATTGATGTCCATGAGAGAATAAGGGAGAGACCCTGGAGGGATTTAGCACTTTTCCCTAGGGTGGCATTATTTTAAAGTCTCACCTGACTCTGAGTTTAGGGACTGATGAACACCTCATTCAAGCTGAAGTCCAGCCAATATTCTGACCTAGTCAGACCCGGTTTCATTGAGTTACACATTCATCCACTAGAACTCTCATTTCATTGAGCCAGAGCTTGGTCCTTGAATCAGCGATATCCAGTTTCATTGATGCTCCCAGAAGCTACTCAGACCTCAGAAGCTACTCAGACCTCAGAAGCTGGCTTTGATCCCATTGAGCCAAGCTGGAATCAGTGGCCTTTTTTTTTTTTTATGAATACTGTGTAGTAAAAGCTCAATATCTTCCATCATCTTATCAATTTGTCAGAAATTAGTTTAGATCCACTGTCCCCAGAAGGCCATTTTGACCGCTCAACTTTATCAAATAATTTTGGGTTGAAGCAATATGGAAAATCAAGTTGACATTTTAGAATTCAGCGAAAGCCTGTAAACACCCTGTCACAATAATATTGAAAAGAATCAACACAGAATATGATTAATACTCAGAAGAGTGGGTAACTGTAAAAAGTTAAACACTAAATCATAATTAAAGATGAACTGCAAGTAAAATTTATTCCATTTTAGGTTGAATGGCAATTATATTAAGTAGCACTACCATATAAATGATGTAATTTGCAAAGACAGCATGTAGGACCCTATTTACAGCTGTCCATCTCCATTTTAACTAGTGGCAGGGGAAGGAAAAAATAAGCCACCTTTATGAAATTTATGTTAGACCTTTGAAAAAGGAATATAATATTGGAGAAAACCCCAACAATATGCATCTTAAATTTAGTGTAATGCAAGGTTTTTTTTTTTAGGAAGGGATATATTAGAAGTCATATCGTAACAACATTCAACTTTAAATGTTGCATCTAGTCTGAGCCAATAAGAAGGTTCCCTGAGGATAAGAGATTAATCCTATTGTTCTGAATTAATATGTTTAGAGTCCTAAGTTATAAAGTTTTTCTGACTGAATTTAAAACAAAAATCATTAAAGGAAATTAAATGAAATTAAAATCATATTAAACAATATTAAATTCATTAAGCAATTAAATTTAAAAATCATTAGGTGAGAAAACATATGAATGACAATTTAGAAAGAAATTAGTTTAAATTATTAGAGAAAATTAACAGTATCATTGAACAATACTCAAAATATAAAAGAAGTAACTTTCCCCTAAGATTTAACTGAAATCTTATAAGTTAAATACATTTTAAAACAAGTTTAGAAAAATATTAAAGCAGTAAATATTTTATAACTTCATAGAGAACTTAAATGTTGAATCTATTTTTAAAATATAAAACTAACAGACTCAAAGCCACAGCCACTTTTACCTTTTATGGCTTCCTTTACAATTTACCAATATAGGTAGTTCCCAATTTACAAGACTGTTGTGGTCTAAAAGTTTCTTTGTAAGTCAGTTGTTTAGAACTCTAATAATTTCCCATGGAAAATAATATGGTAGTTCTCAAAAACCTGCAAAGGGCTGTTTAACCCACAGTGTAGCTGAATCATAGCACTAATTCTATTATTTCAGGGTTTGTGCAGGGGGTGTGGGTGTGGGGGGTGGACTAGCCTGGGAATATAGCCACTATATTAACACATTTTCTTTGAAAAGTATTCCAGATTATGTAGGGAGAAGGAAACTTGGGGGGATCTGGAACATATAGTTCCCTCTTCCCTTTTGCATACCGTATCTGGAATGTATGTTGATACCCAGAATGAGACAGTAACAGGGAAACGTCTCCTGCCACTCACCCTCCAGATGAGGAAGCCACTGATTGTCTTATCTGAATCCAAAAGGGCACAGTTTTGTAAACTTGGAGAAAATTTACTATATTCCAGGAGGAACCAAGATCCCCAAAGAGGAAGATCATTGATGCATATTGATGTATTTATTGATGTGTGTGTGTGTGTATAAAACATGTATATAACATATGTATATGTGTGTGTGTGTGTGTGTGTGTGTGTGTGTGTGTTCCCTGTGAGTCAGGGAATATCTGTAATGAAAAAATGCTTTGGTTACTGAAAATTTAAAATAATATGAAACTTATTTTTCATTTAATTTTCCACTTTCTTAATAATTCTGGCAAAGCAATGTTAGATTTGAGGTTGATATCGCTTATGGGAAAATGACAAATCTTTGCTTTTTAAAAGGAGCTGATCAGGAGATCCCAGGTTGATTTGATGAGTTCTCCTACTTCCCCAATCAGATTGAGATTCCAAGAGTGTAGACCTTTGTCTGATGGCCACTATCCATAGCAAAAGATATGCAATCTAGTACCCTAGGAAGAAGTCTCAGGGAATTCCTCTGATTGGTTCCCAGTGACTCTAGCTACGTCCAAGATAATTAGGACCGGAGTTAGGAGTGTGGAGGGAGGGAGGAGACATGCAGTCTGGACCTTACCAACCTCTTTATTGCTATGAGTTGCTCAGATGATACAGGTATGAGATGGATGGAAAGCATTTGCTTAGTAATTCCCTCAATCAAAAAAAAAAACAACGTTCTGGGGTGTATGTATCTGTGTGTATATGTATGTATGTATATATGTATAGGTATGTGTGTGAGCCTAATGAACTATTAGAGTGGTTTATTTTTCTATATTTGTTCATGTGCTCCTATGAGTCCTTTGTGTCTTATGCATTTTCCGTAGTGGGTGAAATGAAGGCAACTTGTTTCATACAGTATATTTAGTACCCACTGAGGGGATGGAGGTCCCTGTTACCAATATTTGGAAAAACTTAGTCATCCTTAAGTCATTCCTAGGATTTATTCTGGAGATTTCTCAAGAGTGAGACTTCCAGAGAGGGAGCAAAAACCAGACAGAGAAAAAATGACCCTCTTGGGTAGGTAGTTAGACCACTGGAGTAGACTTGGTTCTTTGTGAACCCAGAGTCCAGGAGATGGAGAACACTGACCTTGGGCACTATCTAAATTGGATTCAGCATTTGAGAGTATAGTGAAGGCAGATTGTCAAGTGAACTGCAAGTAGGTAGGCACAAAGGAGACAAACAATTTTTAAACACCTACTATGTGCCAGGCACTGTGCTAAGTTCTTTACAAACATTCCCTTATTCCATCCTCACAACAACCCTGGGAGGTAGGTACTATTGTTATCCCAGCTTTACAGATGAGGAAACTGAAACAGACTGAGGTTAAGTGACTTGCCCAGGGTCACACAGCTAGGAACCGTCTAAGGTTGGGTTTGAAATCAGGTCTTTCTGACTCTAGGTCAGGCACTCTAGCTGCTGAATCACCCTGCTGCAATGCAAACAAACCTTAAAATGGACAAAATAACCCAGAGAAAAGATGTGGCTATGGTTATTTTGACCTAATAAACATGGCCTTATTCCCACCTTCAGTTCAGTTTCCATCTCAGCTCTTCAGATCTGAGCAGTGCCTCGTGCATACTAAGTGCTTAATAAGTATTGATGATTGTTCTTGCCGACATTCTGCACTATCTCAGTGGAACTGCTGGAAGACCAACGAATGGATTCTGGTCTATCTATGGAGGAGTGGGCAAGAACAGGGCTTTCTTGGAATGTTTATAGACTGAAATAGCATCGGCTCACACATAACAACAGATTCTTAGCTTTTCCTGGCAGTTTCTCCAAGTTGTCAAGTGGTTTTAAATACCCCCTACAAAATTCTAAGTAAGAATGTTGACAGCCAAGAGAAATATCTAATAAGTTCTCAGAATGGGTTTCCCTCTCTGCTGCCTTACTTTGTCTTCCATCCAGGAATTTTTCAGTG